CAAGAGGCGAGAGACTAGTTACCGGCAGAACAACACACTTCACGTGAATATCTCCGCGAGCATGCACCGCGCCAAACCCAAGTTGTCTATATATATCTAATTGTCAACTCAATACGGCATTGAAGAGGATATGTGAGAGACAGATGACCAGGCAGATGTTCAGCCTCTGAGGAATGCGGCATACATTGCAAGAGAGTGACTTCTAATTATGCAAACAACTCATATGTAATGCATGTTGAATGGCTCAAGCATCGAAACTAAGTGAAGTTGTATTACACTATGGGATGCAAAGCAATGCTCTAAATGCAAACCAACTCCAAGACCCTATGCAGGCCCAAAACAGTAGCAAAATGAGTTGGGATGATGGCTTGAAAGGCACAAAAATGAAACTCATGCAATGGCTCACAAAATATGGTATAAAAGCACAACTCTCAAGGGCACTTAAAGAGTGGAAAACAAGGAAGTATGACAGCCCTATATGCGCTGAAATATCTTGCTCAATGACGCCAAAGCATGAAAATACCTAGTGTTAAGCATGCAAGGGACTTCAAAACTCGAAGCTAGTCAAGGCTATTACACTACAAGCATGCATGGCAAGCATCTTTCGACCAAGAGGCCTCAAAAAAGAGCTGAGGTAGCCCAAAATATGAACAAAACCAGGTTGGAGCATGGCCAAAATATGCTAGAATATAGGGCCAAAACATCATGCATGCTAAGCTAATAAACATGATTTACACTACAAGCATATGAAGCATGTGAGAGGCTACCAAACCAGCTGAAAACAGAGTCATGGCATGCTAAATGATGACCAAAAACCCACTAAAATATGACCAATACATGCAAGAATGACATGCTACTTTGATAAGCCACAAAAGGGATTACTCTACACATGCAAGAGGCAGACCCAAGGTGACCAAACCAGCCATAGAGAGAGTCTAGGAAGGCCCTAAAAGTCACCAAAAAGTGCCTGAACCGAGCCTTGAAAGTATGAAAACATATGCTCCTTTGATAGGCCAAAAATGCAAGCAAACAAGACCAAAAGAGAGAGGATCACGCCTCTCTGATTTAGAGTCTCAAAACCACATGCCAACCATTGAAAATCTACTAGATTTCAGTGGCTAAAAGGCCATGCAAGGGTTAACTCAAAGGCCTTACGGCATGGCACAAAACAAGGCCAAATAGGGCATACAAGAGGGAAGATGACCCTCAGCACCAAAAGGGCCTTAAAAAAACATGAAAAACACTTAAATATGGAGCTTTTTTTAGTTGACAAAAAAGCTCAAATAAGCATGCAAGTATGGCTAAGAGAGTGATCAAGACAAAGCTTAAAAAGAGAGAAAAGAGATTACCCTTGAAGCTCAGCAAAACCAGCAAGTTCCTTAGCCAAAAACCACCCTTTTAACCTCCAAAAATAACTTCTAGGAACCTTAGTTCAATGGTAAGGATGTATGGCTAAGAGTTGGGGTGTTAAAGGTCAAGAACAATACACACTTTTGGCTCAAAATATAGAGATATAGAGAGAGATATGTGTTTGTGCCTTAGGAAATTTTTTTGAACCTGGTTTAAGGAGAGGGAGAGCCTCTCTTATAGAAGAAACAAAGGGTTCAAGCTCCTCGAAAAAGCTAAACTTGGATGCAATCCCTCTATATGGAGGATACAGTCTGTGCCCTCCAGCTGGCAGAGCTGGCATCCATTTAGTCAGACAAAACAGAATGAAGCCTGTCGACCAGAAAAGGTGGTCAGCCTACTACTTTTATTGGTCGGCCGACCACCCAAAGTGGTTTCCTAAAAAAAAGGTGGTCGACCAAGGTAATTGGTGGTCTCCACACTGAAAACAAGCCAATGGTGGGGTGGAAAACCAGAAAATGTGGCCCAAGACCAAGAAAACCAGTTTCCCAACCAGAAAATCGGCTGGCGGGGAGAAAAGTGGTTTCCAAGAAGAAAGCTGGTCTCCTACCCTTGTACCACTTCCCAAACATGGAAAGTAAGGTTTGTACCCAAGACAAACCGAAACGGATGCAAGACAAGGGTTCGGGAGACAAAACGCGCAGCTGGGAGCCCTGAAAACCAACTGCTGAGCATCAAAAGTGGCGTACGACCACAAAAGTGGTCTCCCGGACCGCAGTGTCCCTCTAGACAAAGGAAACAAAGTGTGTTCCAAAAAATGTGCCAAACAGAGAATGTTAAGCGGTCCCGAACCGAGGCGCACGGCCGACGGCTCCGAAAACTGGAAACTAGTCTCCAAACGGGAACAGTGGCCTGCGACCACGAAAAGTAGTCTACGACCACTGAGAGATGGTCTACAAGACCTCTCCCTCCCTCCGGGAAGAGAAAACAAGACTTAGTCCGCAGACCGAATCAAAGTACAAAGAGTCCGGAGGTCCGGAGGTGAGGCTTTCAGCCAAGAACTCTAAAATCTCAAAACGAGCACAACATGCGCAATCACCGAGCGCTCAATCGATGACGTCTAAGTCTTAATGTCAGTCAAAAATGGGGTGTCTACATTGATCTTTGACAATATAAAGTAATTTTACAATGTTTGGCCCACCACTCAAGTTCTGAAGAATTTTAATCTCCCTCTTAATCTTCTTCTTCATTGATTTTAGTCATTTTTTCACAAAAGACGTCAATTGTACAAACACAGAAAAAAATACCATACTTGTTGATAAAGAATTTAACGAAGAAGATTATTAGAGTCACCACGTGATCTCCATCTGCAAGATAAAGCTCCCCAACCGTTGAACAGCCGGTGGCCCTCCAACGCTCAAGCTAGTCCTCAAATATTATAAAAATATTTAATAAACTAATTCATAAAGAAATTGCGTACATCAATTCATAGAGGTGTGATCTATTTATAATAGCTAGTGACTTGCCTAGCAAGTAGTTTAAATATTTTAGAAGTCTTATCCCAAACAATCTCCAGTTGCTTAGCACTCCTACATCGATAAGATTTCATCTCCTGTTGAATTTCGCATAACATAAAACACTAATCTAGTATTTGATGAAGATTTGACAACTGCTATACATGTAATAACTCATAACTATGTCACATGATCCTGTCTGAACCTACATAATTTTTGTGATTATCTTTATTCCCTCTCAATATCTTAATATTATTATTTAAAATCACGAGAATGCAAATATACACTGCAGAAAATTCAGCTTTTAGTGGCGTTTAAAAAACGCCGCTAAAAGTGCCAAAAACGCCACCAATTCTTTTTGTGACGCTTAACACCAAACGCCGATGACGCGGCCGTCGCTATAGCTTTATGGCGTTTTAAAAACGTCGTGATATTAATATAGGCGGCGTTTTTAAAAACGCCGCCAAATGTCCTCCTAAACGCACGCTGACGTCACTGACGATATTTAGCGACGTTTTTTGAAAAACGCCGTCATATCTTTTTAAACAAATACGACCGTTAATATGTAAGGTTTAAGAGGCGTTTGTAAAAACACCGTCATATCCTTTTCTTTTTTTTTTGAAAATTGTACTAATTTTATTTGATTGAACTAAAAAAATATCTGTAATAACACTAATATAAAATAACAACTCCCATTCAAATAGTTGTAATGAAGCATTAATTCACTTTCTCATTCAATTAATATCCAATCACCATTACCCACAAAATTAACATATCCAAAATCCAAAACGTTAACCACAAACTAACATATATCCAAAAATCATGTCTTAACATTAACCACAAACTAACATATATACAAAAATCATGTCTTAGCATTAAAGTTGTAGTCTTCACTGGTCTACATGCCTGCATCATAACATAAACTGTAATGAGATTCACCAAAATAAACACAAATTGAAGAATTCGTACCCAATACTTATAAATAGTACTTAAAACTTGAAGAAGCACTAACAAGAATATTTTATCACATACCAAGAAGCACTAAATACATATAAAGAAAAAATAAAAATAAAAATAAAAATAAAAACGCTTTTCAAATTTGAATCCAACCAAAAATCTGGGCCAATGTTGAATGCTTATTGTTGAATACAGTTTGTAACACAAGAAAGACTAGAAACTTACAGTTTGTAGCATCATCCTCATTCATTCCCAAGAAGAGAGAAGCATCTTGAATGCTTATTGTTGAATAAGCAGCTAGCAGTAGCTGAAACATCTTTGTGGTGTAAACATCTGCAAAAAAATGATCAAAAGATAATTTTGACAACAAAAAGTGCCATAAGGTAAAACTTCTCTCAATAGAGGAAGATAACAAGAGTCATTGCCTCTTAACTAATTCAGGACCCTATACATAAACAAAAAAACAAAGTAACAAACCCCCATCTCCACCTCCAAGGTTTCCCCACACACAACAATTACATCATTTAATCGGGGAATTGAAATATATGTTGGAGTATCTTGAGGCGTTCTTACAATATTAATCATTTCATGGTTGATAACATATCTCAACATGGCATATCTCATAATATACCCATGCATCATATCTATCTATTTATGGAGAGAGAGGAAACTACGTACCCTGTTTCCTTAAAAGAAAACTCCTTCAGTTTTCTAGCCAACTCAATTTCAGTAGCTGCAGCTCTAGGTACTATACAACTGTCCCTGCACATTGCCTAGCACAAAGATGCATAAAGCCACATTCAGATTAGCTTCTTAAGGTCCAGTAGAAACTGATGCAATACTTTTTATAAAAGATGACCTACCTAAAATAAGTATCGTAGATGTGTTGGACAGAATTACCTTGTATGTATTCACACCATCATCAACTGCTCTTTCAAGGTCATCTAATATACTATCGGTACTTCCTCATAGGACCACAGTGCATACAAAGTTTCCACTTTCTTCATTTCTCACAATGGTGACCTATTATTTATTAGATATAAAGATCATGTTGGGGAAGAAGATGAAGAAACGTAAGGAAAAAGCCCAAAAAATAAAACAAAATTAGTACTATATTGATTACTGGCTGTGATATCTTCACTAGAAACAATTAACATGACACTGTACTCCACAAGAGCTTGAACTCACACAGGTTGAAACGAAAAAAGAAATGTTTCTGATCTTGAAAGGAGGAAACCTGTAGCTCTAGAGCACGGATGGTTCACAAATGCATTAGCTCTCGCACGGCGACGCATCACATCACTTGATGGAGGTGGTGTGTTGTAAGTTGGAAATCTTTGATAATAGATGTTATACCAAGTCAAGGAAAATAAAGATTGTAATATATTTGAATAACACGAGGAACAAATGATATATATATAATGACTAGATAGGAAGGCAGGAAATATTCTGAATTCTTTCAAGCACTGACAGTAATTCCCAAGGAAAAGGTTGAGGATATAATCTCTAAGTCTATCTGAATTCTGAATTCTTTCTATTTCCTTCTGCAGCCAATTTTTATTTCCTTGTAGCTTTCTAGGACTCTGATTGCGCATGTTCAATTCACCAGCTACCAAATTCATCCAGATCGAGAACTTCAATGTGCATTTTTAGTGAAGTGATTTCAGCCTTGCAGTCATTGAGTTCCTTTCTTTGGCGTTCCAATGACTGTTTCAGATCTTGAACCTGAAAATCATTAACAACAGGCTATAATTCCGCACAATATATTATTGACAGGCTACAGAAGATACTCTTAATCAGAGAGAACTACAGAATTCCTTGTCTTTCAAATCCTTCTGCAGGCTTCCAAGGATCTTGTCAACACCATAACTTGACCATCAGCCAAATCTTTGTTTTTCAGCAAAGACACTTTTTCTTTTTTGAGCTTATCATTTTCTTTTAGCAAAGACTCATTTGCTCGAAGCATCGCAATTTTTTCCTGCAGCATGGGTAAGCTGTCTCATATATGTTGCAGTTCAGCAACAAGAAGCAAGATTCAAATTATTATTTATAAAAAAAAAAAAAAGAAATAAATAATTTAAAAAAAAAGAAAAGAAAAGAAAAGAAGGGAAAAGAAAACTTTGGTGAATAGTGATTATGAATCATTTGAAACTGGTTGGGTAGAAAGCATCCTAGCCTTGGACTAAAGAGGCCGCTGAAACATTTACTTCATAAAGCTGATCACTATGATTTGGTTCAAAGAATTAATGTCAGATGATCTATAAAGGTTACTAATTCATTTGCAATTCCTTTGAGAATACCAAAAAACAACTTGCCTACCCCATTTGTGTTTGAAAGTACCTGGCAGCCTCTGCAGTGATGAGAGGTACTCGGTAATAGTAATGACGGAGCGCATCTGATACGCATGCATGAGGTCTCCCAAACACTAGGTTCTGTGTCAGTAACCTGCAGTTAAAGATATGAAAAGCTAAAAATAAGACCAGACCTGATTGAAGTGATTCCTCGCATGTTCTTCAACTTGTCTTTTTCATTATTACATTTATGATCTTCTTACACTCCAAAACATAAGACCAGACCTTATTAACTCTTTGTATATTCTAGAGATCCTATTTTGAAGCCAAGCCAATTCACTCTTGGCATCACCAATTGCAAGACTAAAGTAACCTTGACAGTCCTGTTCAAAACCATAGTAGCCCAAAACTTTGCATTCTCTTGCTTAATGTAACCATAAAATCAACCCTCATGACCATTAAAATGCTGAAACTCCTTAGTTTCAACAACCTTCAAAGCATAAATGAAATAATATGCAACCTAAATAAATCCCTGCACGCCTTCCCTATAATTTGCAATGAAAGGTTGTAGGAGAGTGTTCATCATCACACTTGTCCTATATATCTACTAAATTTAACATCAAAAATATACTCCTAATCCATGCTTGCATCAAAAAATGTTAGCAATTCCTAATTTCTAACCCATAGGCAGATTAAATTAAACCATTAAAATGATTGTAACAGACTTGTTCATATACGTGTCCACAAACGTGATAAAAACAAGCTTTCCCTCATGAGACTCAAGGTTATGCTAAGAAGGATCCTATGTCCGATTTAAGCATATTCAAAACACGATAAAATTTTTTTGTAAGAACCTGTTAAAAGATAATCTTTAAAGATAATCTGTTTCTGAATCTGTAAGAACTGTTAAAGATAATCTTTCATTACAATCGCACTGTAATATACTCTTTCCTTTAATTACTTGTATCTGTCTTCTGAATCTGTCAACTTCATGATTGCTATGAACTCCCAACACTTTCTGTGAGCCCATTAAGCAAGGAAATTTTATTGCCAAGAGAAATTATGGAAGAAAAAGGATCAGCATCTATCCTTTTAAAAGCTATGGTGGATGCAAGCTGGGATTGGATTAGACATTGACTTATCGTGTTGTTTAATTCTTCATGAAACAAACCATGATTTGAAAAAACAAATCTGTAGTAAAAACTGGGGGCTAAGTGGATTCAGAACCTACAACAGAGTAAGACCTTGTTTATACTTTGTATACTTGAAACCAAAAGGCATCTCACATTCATAACACAAAACCTATATCAAATTTAAATTTGGATAAAATCACTTAAAAAACCTCTCCACTCAAACTAATATCAATTTGAGTTTACCCATGTTTTTATCCTAATCAAGGGAAGACTCAAATGTTACTCAAAATTTTCAAGACCCTTGTTGTAACTTCCAAATATAACCTCTGTCAGCACTGAAGATTTACTCAAATTATACTTCAACTGGATTTTGTCCATGGATGTTTCATCTATCTATCGATCTATCTATCTATCTCTATATTTAATAAGAGAAGGCTCAACTTGGTGTTTGTCTCAATTTTTCGATTTTCCCAAAGTGTCCGTATATAGCAATTAGGTGGTTAGTTTTATGCCCTAAATTCAAGGTTTTTTATTTTTATTTTTTTCCAAATCTGTTCCCTCTGATTTCAGAATTTGAAATTCAATTCATATAGTTTACATTTTTATTTTTCTAAAATAAAATGACACCACTTCTAGTATCAAATAAAAGCTTTTACTCAAATTAGAAGTAAATTTTACAACTTGAGATAAACTCACCCAAATTTAAGCAAATTGAGATTCACATCAGTTAAAAAGTCATAAATTTTTTATACCTTTCATATAGATATTCATGATGGGGAGCACAGGTATAATTAAAATAGAAATTTTTAGCAAACTAATCAAATATTAAACATTTTGCAATATAATGTAAACAGGGGAAAAGAATTCTTAAATGTTGAATTGCAGCAGTAAGATGTACACTATGGTCAACTTAGCTATCACAAAAGGCTAGGACGATCATAGATAATTCATTTTGATGAAGATTAACAGTTGGCACTATGGAACTTATTTTAAAATCTGAGATGAGAAAGTAAAACCTTAGATTGTTCTGAACAAAATGTTCAAGAGCGCAAGCATAAGACAAGGGCATCGAAGCACACTGTTTGAATCTGGAACCCAACCAAAGATCATTTCAGTTATATAAATAAGATACAAAGCACAATACACTGCATATGATAGGAAATCTATAACCTGTGCGTTTGCAGAAACTTTACCAAGATTATCTACTACTGCAAACTTCGATGAACAACAGTCTACAAATCAAACAAATGACAACATTTAGACTCCATGTAATAAGGAAAGCCAACTTTATGATTTCAATCACAAATAAAATTCTGAACATCAGACTGCTCAGAATTAGAATTTATCTAGCGGGTAAATCAGCTGAAAACATTCTAATCATATCATTAACAACTAAAAATCCTTGAGGAAAAAACAGTGAGCCAAATCGGTCCACCTAGGGCGCCAGGACCAACCGTAACAAGGCCGATCATGACAGCTAGCCAAATCGGGACTGAGGAGAGTAAAGCGTCAAGGAATGTCTCGGCGAGGCCTGGCCAGTGTAGAAAATAGATCAAATCGAAGAAGCTCTGCTCCATTTATCGATCGGTGTCTATACAGATACGTGTATGTACATGAGAGAATCGATAAATATACATATATGTATATGTATATACAAAGTAGAAGAGATAGAAGATGAGGTGCTAAAGCCATGGAAGCTGGCATAGATGGTGGGGCGTGGAGCTTTGAAATTGAGAGAGAAAGAGAAATCAAAATCGCTCTGAGATGAAATCAAAGAAGAATCTCTGAAGAGGATCTAGAGAGAGGATCGAAATCGGGGGGGCAGTGCAGACCGATCTGAATCGAAATCGCGGTGGCGATGCAGATCGATCTGAAATCGGTGAATCTGTGAGATTTGAATCGGTGAATCTATGAAATCGGTGAATCGATGAATCTCGCTACCTCGCCGGTGCAGATGGCGGTGGAGGTAGAGCTTCGAAATTGGTGAATCTGTGAGATTTGAATGTGAGATTCAAGTTTAGAGAGGATTGAGAGAGAGGCGACGTGAGGATACAAGGGTTAGAGAGGAATTGAGAGGTCTTGAAAGACCTAAGGGTTTACAAAGGCTTTATTATCAGATTCAAAATAAGCGCGTGTGACGTACCGCATTTGAAGGCGTTTTTTAAACGCCTTTTGATCATAACGGCTGGTCGTTTTAATTAAACAAATATGCGACGTTTTTTAAAACGTACGTTAAATATTAATAAAAATGACGTTTAAGAAAACGCCGTTTAAAAAAACGATCGCCAAAAACCCTTATTTCTTGCTGGTGCCCAATCAGGTTGTCAGGAAGGAAAAAGCCAGCGAGAGAGAGAGAGAGAGAGTCAAGTTAGTTACTAGTTCTGGCAAATGGAGACAGGCTCAAGGGAAAAGGCTATTGGATTAAAGAAAGAAATGAAGGAAGAAAAGTAAAGGGGATGTTAGAAGGGAATCAATTAAATGCTTGAATTAACAGTTTAATGTATGAAATCATGTTAATTTTATCGAATCTTTATATTACACTTGAAATCAAAGATGAATTGGACTCAAATCATGTAATTAATAGGAATTAGCAGAAGATGAAGAAAGTTGAAATTATGTTTAAGATTATGGAAATAAATTTGGAATTATTAGTTAGAG